GTGCAGATAAGGAGTGTAAGGAACTGAGAGACTCTTGTTTGATTTGGTTAGCTCTAGCTTTGTGCTTTCAGGCTGGAGCAAGATCTGGTCTAAGTATTGAAGGACAGGGCAACACTAACAAAGCAAAGAATTTTTTGGTTAGTGGAGCTGTCTGAAAAGTTGGAAAAAAGCCCCAAAAGAGGGCTATCAAAGCATCGACTACAGCCATCTTAAATGCTCCAGGCTGTTTGTGCTTAACACTGAGCTTGTTTTCACCTGACAATTAAGTGAGTTGGCCTGGTCTGAGCACAAGTGACTGGAACATGAAGAAACTCAGCTGCAAAAATGCAGGGCAGTAAACAGTGGAGAAGTTGAAACTTGAATTCACTGTATCTGTGTTGCACTGTATACCAAAACAGTGGCACTGTTCAGAATCCAGCCCTTTTATTCATCCACGAAAAAGTCAGATCCACCTTCAGTGTTATCCCAAGTTGAATTTGTTGTGTGGGCAAATGAGAGGTCTGAGTAAAATTTAACCAAGCTAAAGATGCAGCAAAGGCAAATGTTAACTGTTCACTTTACATGGCTAACTCCTCAACTTTTCTCAGATAAAATGTAAGCTCCCAATTGCCTAGTCTCTGGTTGCTCTGCCTGGATAATCTGAACCAATTTCCTCCAGACCGACCTATGCATCAGTCCCTGCCACTCACAAAAACATACTGGGTCTGATGCAAAACTAGCTGGAATTTGTTGTTGTGAATTTGCGTTTAGTTACATTGTGCCACGACTATGCTGGCACCGATAGCTGTTGCACAGATCCTGGACTGACAAACACCCCCCCCCTTTCTAGCAGCGGTTGTTTCTCAAGTTCTGATGAGTCTTGTTCCTTATTGTTACATTATCGCTATTTGTTTCAGCAGCTCTGAACTGACTCCTGCTGAAGCCAGCAAGTTTAACTATTAGCTTCACAAGGAATGTAATGGTACACTTGAATAGTATAAACGTATTCCGTATCAACTCTGCTAGCTCAGCCTACTTGCTTCCTCTCCTTGTTATGTAGTGGGATGGCTTGACAGCTACTGGTTTTCCAAGAAACGTATGCTTGTCCCAAGTTCTCACTGTGCTTCCTGTTTTGTGGTTTGGGGTTTTTTTGTTGTTGTTTTGGTGTTTGATTGTTTTGTTTTGTTAAATCCCTTATCTCAACTTGAATGAAAGATGTTACTAAAATTCTGGGAGATGGACTAGGTGTCTGCGTGCACACATACACAGAGAAAGCAAGTGTGAGGTGACATTTGGCTTTCCTGACCCATTGAAATCACTACAACCTGAGCATGAAGATTTTTAAAGGAAAAATCTTGTCTTGAATACAGCTGCTTAACTTCTTTGTGCTTTATTTCATGAAGAAAGAGCAACAAGTTATTTGTCTAGTATTGCTATGGTGACATCCAGTCACAGGTTGGTGAGGGAGGCAGTGACAGCGCAAACACAAAATCTCATGAGATGTGCATCACTTGCTGTTAGATGTGACCTTGCCTAGTTTTGAAAACGATAGTTTTTCTAACAACTGCTTTAATGAAACAGATGGAAATACAGAATTAAAAAAAAAAAAAAAGCCAATTTGCTGAGTTGGTCTTACTCTATTTCCTTAACACTTGGTACTGGCTTGCAGTGGGCAATCAGAAACTTTTGGTTCCCAACTCAACTGCTATAAATAGTATTTGTAGTGATCTCCAAGAATCTCTCCAAGAGTGTTTTCTTCATGCCAACTTCTGGCTGCATCAGCACTGTATCTTTTTGGCACTAAGGCAGCAGGTCTTGCTATAAAAATGTGCCTGTCAACGCTGTAGAGGGAGTCTAGACTGTAGACAGCTGGTAAAGCAGAAAAATACCTACAAATTGATGGGAGGCAGGGACAGTGTGGCAGCATCTCTTGACTGTATGAGGTTGCTCTTGGCTTTTACCCAGGGAGGACACCTGCTCTGTATCTATCCCACTGGTCAGCCCCAGCCACGTAGGCACTGCATGGCCTGTCTTCAGACACTACACCTACTCCACAGGTCCTTAGCTACTTCTAGGGGTCTTTGTAAGTCATCTTCAAAAGTTGTGCTCCTTCTGCTTTCACCAACTGAGCCTGTACTTAGAATCCTGCCCCCTTAGGGAGAAACTCCAGCTGAAAATATCCCAAATCAGGAGGGAACTACTGCTAGTCAGTCTTCTGCCCAGCCTTCTGTCCCACCCAGCTTTTGTTCCACTTCCTTGGGGTTAGGGAAAATGTGAGGGTCTTTTCTAAGATGGCTCTGAAGTAAGCAGGCCTGTGTAGCAGACTGGGGAGAAGAAGACGGGAGGGGGTGGGAAGGAGGGGAGCTGCTGCATTATGAAGAAATGTTTTATATTTGCAGTAACGGCCACCCTTCACCACAGGATTGCCTTGATTTTGTGGAGGTTGCTCTGCAAGGGCACGTTAAGGCCTGTTTGGCCCCCAGATTTCCTTCCTGGCACTCCCGACTATACACCAGGGCCAAAACAGCACAGATCATCAATCCGCTCGCCCATTTCTTCCATTCTCAGTGGTGGGGGATCCAGTATCAGGAGTATATAGATGCCAGCACCAGATATAGGAGGGAAAAAGAGAAAGGAGAAACAGCCTGTGGGCTTGAAATGCCAGAGGGAAGAACATAGCAGGCTGTGCAGGCTGAGGAGAGATTAACAGGTATTAAAAGAAAGCAAAAGACATGACAGAATTCAGATGGATGCTGAGATGAGCAGCAGCGAATGTTCTTAGCAAGGAGCATGAGGAAGTTGAACACAGATGGCAAGGTGTGAATAAGCAGGCAGACCTGAGAAGCTGTAAGGGCAGGATGGAAAAAAACCTTAAAATCCAGCAATGGGAAGAAGGTGAAAAGTATATGAACAAATAACTTAAATAATAATGCTTTCCAAATCAGAAATGATAATTTTGTTTATCTTGATGTTAGAAAGCCATACATAAACTAAGCAAAGGCAGTGTAAGAATAATTTTATTTAGTATTTTGGTAACACAACGATACATCTCAAAATGACCATAAAAGTTAGCTCACTGATCAACTCCATACATTCTAAATGGGTGCTACTGAATTTGAGTAACTTCACAGATTATACGAGGCATTATTTGACCAACAGCTATATAGTGTGTGACGCCCTGACAGACATAAGCAGTGTGAATGGACGTTGCATTAGTAGCCAATGCATAGTTAAAGCTTTTGGAAGAGTACAAAATTGCAAAACCCATTTTTATTAAAATATGAATCGGTGATCCTTGCGTTAGAATAACTATTCAGTTATAGGTTACATCCTTTATATTTTTTTTAATGACAATACTTAAAAAGGTACAAGGAAAATTGTCTTGCTAGCATCTGATCTAATATAGATCTCCATATGAAAATGCTGAGTATCTTATAAAGCTTTTCACAGGTATAGGCTAAGTTCTGGGATATCACAAACTTGTACATAATTCAGAAAAACACCTGAGGTTACTCCTTGTGTATGTAACAGAAAGATTTTTTAGCTCTAAAAAAAGAAGATAGATGCCATATGAAGTCAGAGACTTTAAACAGGTACATTACTACTGTGTGGGGTTATGGAGCAGTACTTTTAGGCTTTTTATTCAGGTTTTTAAAATCAGTAGCAAAGCTTCTACTCAGGAAGATCAGGATTGTGTCGTTAACCCAGCTCCTCCCGATGCCAGTATGAGTTCTGCCAGTGCTGCCAACGTGACTAAGAATGGCCATCTCTCAGAAGACCCAGTGCAAATCTTTACTTGCTTAGGTCTCAGCAGAGCTACTTTACTGTGTAGCATTGCACCCTTATTTTTCTAGTTCTACTAATACCTTATTTAGCACTAGGCTGAACACAGCAAGTTATGTGAGGTACTCTCATTTCCGACGGATTTCATATGTAATTGAAAGTGATCTGCAGCTCCAAAGAAATGCCCAACGCTTTTAAAAATCAGGCATTTACATAGGGTTGTTTGCTTTTTAGAGAAATACATGCAGCTTTGTGTACACAAACATTAGCCAGAGGTTCAAGGCCATAAAGTTTCACGTGTGTATTTTACTTTAAAATAATAGTTTGGGGTTTTTTTTTGTTTGGTTGGGTTTTTAAAATTTTATGTCCTTTGCCTCATAAAAATTTTAAAAGTACTTTTTCTTCAGTTAATGGGTACATTAATTAGAACATGTAATGTTAGTTTTCCTTCGGAGACTTTGCTCCAAGCAAATCGTACTAAAAGTACATAGTTCATTTCTGGATATACCATTTAACTCAACCTAACAGAATGACTAGTGAGCAGGGGTGTATTTGCTGTACGCTTTACTTGAGGCTTGTGGCATGAACGTTTTCATATAAAACCCCCAAATTCTCACTTCTAAATACCTCAGCCCATGTGGATTTTACTGGACTTACCTATGTGCCTAGGGACAGGGATATTAACTCTTTACTAGAGAAATACAAAGTTCAGCTATAAAACTTTCAGTTCATAAAACTTTCTAATTCAAATATCTATTTTGTTCACGAATGTGCTAATGAACAGATTAGCATATGGTTTGTATCACCCTCGCCATTTGGTGACATATCAAATATTTCAAAACTTAATGAAAAGTTACTATATTAAGACATTCTGTTCATTCTCATGTAAAACATGAATTTCATTTTTAAATGTGCTTATAAGCAAGTCTATTTTTTTTTTTTAGTCATTTACGTAAACACTTTGGAAGGCTAAAGGCAAGACTTTACATTGTCATTTTACCAAAAATCATTTGAACATTTATTATTGAGGCATTAATGTACATCCCAGCAGTCACAACGCAGGAGCTGCCATGTTCCTACGGCAGTTTCCAGTAGAGTGAATTCGGAGGCAGGCTGCAGTGTTCTGAGCAACCCTTTTTTTTCTTTTCTTTTTTTTTTTTTTTTTTAAGTAAGAGATTTCACTTTGGGATGTGGAGTCACTGAAGGCCAACTTAGAGTTAAGGCATAGCACGTGGAGACGTGGAAAGGATTGTACAAACAGTTCCTGGAGATGCTCCAACCAGTCAGTAGATAAAGCGCTTTACAATGGCGACTTCTGTGAACAAGCTAGAAAAGAAAAGGCTTACTTTCAAATTGCATATGTTTTATCATTTAATATATTAAATTGTTGCCCTGGCTCTCCTTCTAGAATTAAAAAGAGGACTGAGTTATACCCTGTGCAGTTTTCCTTCCTGCTCGTGTAAATTGTAATATTGGCTATTTTCCAAAAAGATCACCAGAACAAACTATACCTTATTTAAGACTAAAAAGAGAGAGAGGGATTATCTTTAGATGCAAGGCTTGTTGCTTAGGCATTTGCTGACAGCTGATTTTCATTGGCTGCTTTCTCTGCTTGCAGTCTTTGGACAGCCTGATCGAGCAAATCCATAGTATCTCTAAGCGTAACATTCAAGGTAAATGGCTTAGGTTTAATGGTCAACCCATAGGTAAAGTCCATTTTAGGGTCCTCGTTTGGATTAGCAGTAAAATTGCACTGATGTACCAGTATGGAGGTAAAGAGAAACAGCTGCACCTTGGATAACTCCTCTCCAATGCACCGGCGTTTCCCCAATGAGAAAATCATCACGCTACTAGTAAGATCTTTATTGATTAATCCATTCTCATCCAGGAATCTTGTTGGATCAAAATCCTCTGGGTTGGACCATTTTGCTGGATCGTGATTCACTGACCACTGATTAACAAAAATCACTGTGTCCTTGGGAATGAGGTAGCCCATTATGAAGGTGTTGGTTGTGGTGGCATGCGGGATAGTAACAGGCACAAAGCTGCTGAAACGCATGGATTCATACAAGAAAGCCATGATGTAGGGCAAGTGGGGCTGATCTTCAGCACATGGCAGACGGTCTCTTCCAACAATCCTATCCACTTCTTCCTGCATTTTAGCCTGCACATTCGGATACCTGTCATTTAAAGTAAGATGCGTGTATGTACATAACACTTTCAAAAGATTTTCTTAAAAATAATCCTTGCTGGAAACATTTTTCACAGAACCTCACCCCTACCCTAAATAATGCAGTTTGAGCAAAGTTTAAATATATTGCAGGAACACGTAGACCCGGATGGAAAACTTTGAGAGGAAAATCCAAACTTCCCATGCAATGGTGTCATTTTAGATTTGCTCCATTTTCACTTCAATGTAACTGATTCTCGACATAAAAAACGAAACTAACTTAAAATGTCCTGAAACTGAATATTCTGATACAATTTTGAAAATTCATCCTAAAACTAAAATTACTGGTCTCTTCTAAATACTGGGCTTTCTGTGGGAACGAGAATTTGGTTTTTCAGCTCTGTATGTGACTTCTACACGTTAGCATAGAGTTTGTTATCACTAGACATATTGCATACAAATGAAAGTCTGCAGATTTTTGAACTGAAAAAATCCCTGCTAATAACTGTCAGAATAGCTTTATGAACTCTTATTTTGATATTGATTAGAAAAAGTATACACAAACTATGTTTTTTTTTTTATAATGTATTTTAAGATGACCGTCTTGAAGCCTGGATAGTTTGGAAGACTACACAGTAACCAAACAAGATCAAAATATTAATAATTTTGCTTATTTTCTTTTGCTTGTCTAAAAGCACGTGTTCCTCCAGGGAGCCTTTATTTGCTTTAAATATTCAAGTTTGCCTTTTCCTCCTGCAGCAGATCTGCAAGTCGAATGCTGGGCAAATGTAGGAAATGGGGAGAAACCCAACAGGTTATGCGCAGGGCATCATACCCTTAGCTCGAAGCGTTAAATATTTGCCTGTTTTTCAAGAAGCGGCTGAGTAGATAATGTTTGTGCAAGCCTACAAATCATGCAGATGATGAAAGAAAAAGCCGGGACAGGCAAGAAAATCAGTGTTACGCCTTCTCCTATCAAACCACCTCCCCTAGCTGAGGTTTTCCCCCTGGAAGCGCCGGTGCCAGGGCAGCGCACAGAAGGGGTGTGCTTGCACCCGCCGGCTGCCCGACGGGTCAGCCTTTCCCCAGGTCGTGCCATGGCGATAAAGGCACACGCTGCTGGCAAATTAACAGAATAGCGGGTTTGTGAACCGGTGCACGAACTCTCTATCTTGCTTAAGCAGTTGTTATCCTGTTCCTATGATCTCCTTGATCTCGACCTGGTAAAATCTGTTACTTTCAGGTTTTATTCGGCTGCCTTTTTGCCAGCACCATTACCCCACCGCCCGAGTAGGGTTTGTGGTGGGGTTGTCTGTGTTTTGGGTTGGTTTTTTTTTCTTTATCCTTTCTGATCTGTTTCTGGCAGGTTTCCCAGAGCTTCCGTGTGAGTTAACGGGAAGCCGCTGCGGC